GATACTTGGTAACCTCAAAAATAATAATTTACATATGTGTTTTCAAGCCTCAAAAATGCGTATTTTCGCGTTTTTCAGACTTTAAATCGCTTATAACTCGAAAACTATCAAATTTAGAGAATAATAACAGGAGACCTTTTTTGTTTAAAATGACCCAAAACACCTAAAAAATGGTTTTCCAGATTAAAAAAAATATTTTTGGAATTTGTTTAAAAAAAATTGTTTAAACAATTTCTGCCCAAAAATTTCGCCCGGCACCCTTCAGATTTGTTTAAAGGGGACATTTTTGAACCGGAATCCGCGACGAAACCGAATCAGAAACATTTTCCCAACGGGAGCGGCCTCACAGCCTGGACTAATTGGTTTTTTTCTAATTGTCAGACTGTACAGGGGCTCCAATGCTCATGTAAACGGAAACGAGATCAAATTCATTGGTTCTTGTAAATATATTATGGCCCAAGTGAAATGTTACAAAAAAGGTGATAAACGTGAACAATTTTAACCATAGAGAGTGTTACTTCTTTTTATAGTAATGAAGAGTCTAACATAGAGTAAGATAACTAACACAAGATAATAATTAAGAAATAGGTACATAGATTTAATTGTTTTTATTACTATCCTTTGTTCTTGAACGCGAAATTTGCTGCCAGGGAAAAACCGTTGCAATTTTAGATGTTTTATATATCACAAGCTTTTGAATTTTAACGCCGTTACAACGTCCTTAAAAAGCTTTATATAATACTACATAATAATGTATGTAATGTATGACAATTTTTGGGACAAACCCCGATGTACCAAGACACCTAGGAATCGAACACAGAAAGAGTCCCACAGGTCAATCCTTTTGATAACGTGGGTATCTGGGATGAATGAATTTTTCCCTACGAGAGAGTGCGAGCTGTATAGCTAAATTTGGATTTTCTTCAGTAAACGAATTTAAAGGAAATATAAAGTTAATTTGTTTATAAAGCTATAGCTCGTAAACTATTTGACGTACAGTGTCCAAGTTTAGCATAAATGAACTACATATATTGAAAAATATTCCCGTGGAATCTTAATATAGTACGTGAACAGCATAGTTGGTCCCTTAATTATAAATGATATGCAAAACACATTTGTGTTTGTAACTCTCATTCAAATTGAACGCGGTTAGATTTATTTTGTATGTCTTTTAAAAGCGATTAAAATAAGATTCTGACATTTTTTGTAAAACAAACGAAGATATGCGAAGAAAAATTGTAAAAAAATAATACTACAAATAAACAATGTCTCCGAAATTTTTTAGACTTCGAGTACTTACCAACGTGTTCTACATAATTTTATCTAAAAAATTACTTAAAATCGTCTAACTCCTAAAAATGTCATCAAAACGACGATTTTGAAGCTCTTCCCACTGATTAAAGAAGCTATTATAGATTCACACAAAAGTTGTGTATTTTCAACTCTAAATTTCTAATTTAATTAATTATTCTAATTTTATATCTATATCCATAATAGTTCTAATCTAATTTCAAAATCTTTATTTAAATAATAATGAAGGGTTCGAGTTGAAAATTCAAAGTTGCTACACCCACCGCGTTCGCAGGGAGAATAAGAACCCTGCTATTGCATAAGTATATAGATTTTGAAAAACCATTAAAAAAGAATTCCTAAGTTTTTTCGATACGACGTCTAGTTCTCGAGATATTTGACAATCGCCTTTCTGGACAGATCTCTTTAATAATGTAAATAATATTATTTAAACCGGAAATAAGCCGAAGGGAGTGAGAGGTCTGACTGTAAAATTCATTTGCGATGTTGCCAAATTTACCGGATCTCGGGTTGTCCACAAAATGTATATTTAGCATATACACAACGGATCGCTCGCACTGCCTCTACAGCGGATTTAGTGGAACTACTGCAATATAAAATTCACCAAAAGGGGTGCAAAATGAGGTCCAGACAAAAATCGATTTCTTTGTACCCCCATCATTGTTACATCGAGTTGTCACTATATACACGTGAATACAAGGTGAGATCCAAAATCGGATCTCGCCTTGCAAAACGGATCTCATTTTGTATAGCTTATGATACAAACGGATCTCGCCTTGATATGAAGACATATATATATATATATATATATATATATATATATATATATATATATATATATATATATATATCGGAAAAAGGAGTACGACCGTCAAATTCCAATATATAAAAGGATCACTCAACAGAGTGGTGGGCTCTTATATCGGTCAATTTGTAGGTGGAGAAATGAAAGACAAAGTTGATGTGCCACTCTATCTATTTTGAAAACGTTTCGCTTTCGTATTCTGAAAGCATCATCAGTTCATTCTAAAAAGTATAATATAAGAACCACACAATCATGGAAAAGATGTTACAGGTGTTACCTTAAAAAGACATGTAGCAGTCAAAGATGTTAACAAGCTTATGAATTAAACTTGAATAAATGGACAATATAAAGTAGAAATGTATAAACATTTAATTTACTAACAACATTTAGTGACTTATTAAAAAATTAGCACAGTGAGTGACCATGTGGTCAGAAGTATAAAAAATATATATTAAATTATAACGTAATTGATGCAAAGAACTAAGAAAATCAACGATTAACTTCCAACAATAGATAATTATTAAACTTTAATTTTAACTTTTGGTAGCATTTTTAAAAGATGTTAATATAATTTAAAAATAAAAATAAGTGTAAAAGAATGAAGTTACCGGTCTAAGCCTTACACCTGCTACCAGGAAAATGGCGTTAGATTGAACAGACTGACACAGAACCACGAAAAGACAGCCAACCTTGAGGTTGAAATTATTTCAACAGAACAGCAAGGTCAGAGGTATCACCTCAAATAATTGAGCGGTTTATTTAAAAGTTAATGAGCTTTGGATGACAGCCCGCTTGTAAGAGACAATCCAATGAAAGAGACTGATATAGTAATAACAATCACTCGCATTAGCCCGTCTAAAAACAAACAAACAGGAGAATTTCATTCAAACTCTTAAGCTCGGTACACATATGCGAGCCGAACGGTATGCATACGGTTCGCGAACACAATATTCGTTAATTTGTACGGCAGACAAAACTGCTCGTGAACTGTTCGTTCGTTGCTCGTCGCGAACCAAATTGTGGCGGTTTATTCCACGACTTCAAAAGAAGCTCGTCGTTCAGTTTGGACGGCGCTACTAAACGCAGCGAACATTTTTATTGTCTCATCAAATCGACATTGTATGAATGACGTGTTCCTTCCTAGAAAGACGTGAAAAAACAGTAAACGGATTATTGTACATATTTTTATTTTTGTTAAACAAGCAAATGATGTCTTGATTTACATTATTGAACGTGACTTATTTATGTGTGTAGAGGAAACTTTTGTGGGTTGTAACAAATCTCCCAAATTGTTTTTTTTTTGGAGTCGGTTGAAGTTTTTGAAATTTTTTATTTATTCTAGCCTATACTAGGACTCTATTACATTGTATAGTATATATATATATATATATATATATATATATATATATATATATATATATATATATATATATATATATAGATAAGAAACAGAAACACAATAAATCAGTACCCAAATTATAAATAAAATGAATCATTTCGCACATGTGTGTTCGTTGCTGGTTTTCGCTTTCCATGGCTCGCGAGATGCTCGCGAACCGTTCGATGTAGATATATTTTCAACGAGCTGTACGCGTACCGTTCGTATACCGTTTGGCTCGCATATCTGTACGCGCCTTTATATTTAAATTTATGTTAAACATTGTGGCTGAAAAAATTTTGCCAACAGGTGAATAACAATTAGATAATTTCCAACAGTCTAAGCTTCAGACACTTAGATCTGTAATTTGTAAAGGATTCTATGAATCAATTACAATGTTAATATTATTACTATACTATTAAATAGTGACTGGTTCACACTCATATGGACAAATTATAGTGTAGAGGTAACCTTGTAATGAAAGTTGCCTATATTTAAGTAATTGGTATAAGGAATTGAGTGTTACAGTTTATTTTATATTAGTTATTTATTTACTATGTTATATTATTCATTAAAAAATTGTGTTCAAATATGTATATTACATGATAATTATATTGAAAATTAAAGTAAAGCCTAGTTCTGCAATATTAGAGCATGATACATTTGGCTCAAGTTACTTATGTCAGTTCTCTTATTTAGAGAATTAGGATGTTTAAGAATTGAACACATTTCTAAAAACTGTCTTTTAAATAGATTACGTTCAGTGCCAAGAATCTTAACTTCATTAAAATCCACTTTATGTTTGGTGCTAATAGCATGTTGTGCGAGAGCACACGTATTTTTTGATAAACTAATATCACTACGATGGGAAGTAAGACGACCTTTTAATGATCTACCGGTCTGGCCAATGTAGCACAATTCACAATCAGAGCATGGAAGGTGGTAAATTGTATTGACTTGTTCTAAAGTAGACAATGGTGTTTTAGTTTTTGAAAAAAGATTTCTAACAGTTTTTGCGTTCTTGACAGCAATTTTAACAGGAATGTTATTTTGTTTATACAGTTTAATAAGTTTCTCAGTTTTGAGAAACTAAATGTCACTAAATGTTGTTAGTAAATTAAATGTTTATACATTTCTACTTTATATTGTCCATTTATTCAAGTTTAATTCATAAGCTTGTTAACATCTTTGACTGCTACATGTCTTTTTAAGGTAACACCTGTAACATCTTTTCCATGATTGTGTGGTTCTTATATTATACTTTTTAGAATGAACTGATGATGCTTTCAGAATACGAAAGCGAAACGTTTTCAAAATAGATAGAGTGGCACATCAACTTTGTCTTTCATTTCTCCACCTACAAATTGACCGATATAAGAGCCCACCACTCTGTTGAGTGATCCTTTTATATATATATATATATATATATATATATATATATATATTATATATATATATATATATATATATAAATACATATAAAGATTCAAATGGTAATTGACTTACCTGAACTGAGATTCCAAACAAATATTATTCTCGCAATTCAATTCATCTGATCCATCATCGCAATCATGAAAACCATCACATAAAAATCGTTCTGATATACACTCAGAGCTCTTACAGGTAAAATGACCGGGAGGACACCCTACAAACGGTTTTCAGAGAAAGTGAATGCAGTATTAGACTATTAAACATAATCATAAAGTATAGTTAAATTAGAAATTAAATTAAAGCAGCTAAAACAATAAGGCGCATTGTTTAAAAAAATAGTTACATGCTTATCAATTTTGTAACTAATCGTATTAGAGCGCTAAAGCTGATCTAATAGATAATAATAAATATTTATATTACCTAGTTTCTTCTTTTTATCTGCACATCCATACTCATCCGACTTGTCTTTACAGTCATAACTATGATTGCAGACCAAATCTTCACTGATGCACTGTCCATCGTCGCATTTATACTGGCCAGGTAAACATTCGGAAGCCGCTTGACAATCCCATTCATCTTCACCAAATGCGCAGTCTTTAAAACCATTGCACCTAAATTCATAACATAGATTTAGCAAATTTAGCAAACATTAAACATAATGTAAATTTAATATGCAGTAAAATATACCTAGCTCTAAAAAAACAGAATGTCCTTTTACCTATATTGATAAATAGGATTAGAATTAAATTAAATTAACAAAATCTATCCGTAGTTGGCTGTTTACTATAGTTTTAAAAAACTTACAATGAAGAAAAATCTTCTGATGTAGAATGGTTTATATTGAATAAAATTTTAAATTATCTAAAAGGATTAACAATTTAAAAACGTTTAGGTCCTATCAGACCATCATCAGTGAAAACCTTGAAATAAGTATTTTCGCGTAAAAATAATTAATACAAAGAAATACATGTTTTACTTTTAAACTGAAAATATGATAAACATATTAAAAGTAGTTAAAACTAGCTACATAGCAAGGTCTAATAACCCTTAGATAACATGGTAAAAGTATTAAATTCTAAAAATTTTATGACGCGATGTCGATGTGATAGAATTTCACTTTAAGAAACCATACAGATCCCTGCTTGAAAAAAAGGACCGAGTCATACGTTTGATACTAGCCAACTGACTAGATCAGCAATTGAAAAATTAATTACGAGTGTGCCTTCAAGAGTTAATTTTTAGTTAGTACTTAAATAATAAACGCCCATATAAGTGTTGTTATGAACCAAAGTTAATTTATTAACAAAAATTAATTATATTATTAATAAATATTAAAATCCTTTGTAAAAGGTATAAACGGTATATCCATTGTTAAACAATTACAATAGCAATACTTAAGTTCTCCGTTCAACAATACAGGATAGTTTGAACCATGTTCTTCCAACCATTAATTAATAGAGTACCAGCATGTAGTAATGTTTTATTTATTTACTAATTTATTACAATTCAATAGACTATTTTATACCAATTTGTGGGTCTTACCTTGTCTGCTTAAACAGTTTATTCATTTTGAAAAACCACAGACATGTAATATTGGCATAATTATTGTAATCTTATATACTAAAACGCTAAGCCCTTTTCTTGTCCACCACTTTACTCAAAAACCATATTAGATAATTAAAATATTTTTTCGGAATATTATTAGTATTACGTATGAGATTGTCAAGATATACTTTTGGTACAAAAATTCACTTCCGGTTTTGAGATGACCGGAAGTTAAAATTTACTTTAAGTTTTAGATTCCACAATGTATATATGGATCGAAAGATCTCGTCGAGACGAATCTAAATATGTACTTCCGGTTGCGATCCGACACCGGAAGTGACCCGAAACGCGCATAAAACGTCAAGATAGATCAAATCTGACACCGGATACGTGATCAGCATGCAAAATTAACTGGTAAATGATATCCATGTCGACATTTGATGAACTAAAAATTGCATTCCGGTTTTGAGGTCGACTTAATCGACTTATAATTCTGCACATTCGCTCATAGAAAGGCAGGTGAAAAGACAATTAAAAAGTAATCCCATGTAGACACCAGATTCATTCATTTCGGCAATCAAATCTGCAAGAAATAATGGACAGCCATATCACGTACATGTAATGTCGTTTGAAGATTTTTTTGACTGGAAGGATGTTTGCACACAAATGGGACTGAATGTCACTAAAAATGAAGAAAACGAGTTAAACTTTCATATATCAAAATTTTGAAACTTGAAAAATCGTCCCCACAGGTTTTATACTACAAACACTCATATAAGGATGAGACTTTTAAAAAGGCCGTAATAATTAAAAGGAAGAAATATCCAGAAATAGTGGTTAAAAAAGCTTATGATTGTAAGCCAGGAATTTCTGAAAGAAATAAATCGGATTTGCTTGACTTATTAAACAAAAGTGTTATACCGAAATATTATACACCATTCTATAACTCATTATGAATATTTTTATTTTTGTTTTCTTTGGTTTAAAATGTTTGTTTTGTATTAACTGCATTAAAATTTAGATTATGATAAATGTGTTATATTAAAACCTTCTTGTTCAGTTGTAGCATAAGCATCAAAATGGTATTTTTTTGTAAAAGGTATGTTTTGTTAATAAAAATGTTTACATGAATTACCTTCCATAGCCTTTCATTTAAAAATGAATATTTACTTCAAGAAAAATTGCAGTAAGATAGACATAATACTAAATATTGTCTTATCTTTCTTAAAAAAAATTAAAGCACTTATCAACAATAATGTCATTTTTCGGAATAATACCAAAATAGATCCAATGTTTTTTAGAAAAAAACGGCATAAAAAGTTATTTATTTTTATTTAGACAAACTAATGCGAAACAAATTACTCTGAAGAATTACTACTCATAAATATCTGTATATATGTATACCTTGCTAATATGTTAAGTCGTATAAGCAATGTGAAACTAGAAATGATCTGATAAAATCTTTATTAGCGTTTCCTCAAAATTTTACTTTTTTTAACGATGTCGTTCTTGTCGCAAATGAGCGATATATGTTTAAAAATCTTAAAAAGAAAGATTAAGTACCAGCAGAAAATAAAAGTAATATTAAATGAAAGAGAAGAACAAAGCAACATTGAAGAAGAATGGGATGTCATCCAAACGACAATTACAAATATGGTATAGGAAACATTAGGTGAAACATCAAGCAAAAGAAACGACTAAGAGAATTTAGGGAGAGCGCCCACCAAACTCGCGTGGCAAGTAGCACGTAGCAAGTAGCACGCGTCTAGCATGTTTCTTAAAATGTAACCAATGAAAACGAACGATTAGAATGAATGACGTCACTGTAATTTTGATGTGCGCTGAATCATTCGTTTTCATTGGTTACATTTTAAGAAACATGCTAGACGCGTGCTACTTGCCACTTGCTACGTGCCACGCCACTTTGGTGGGCGCTCTCACTTATGTTTGCTGCTTAGACAGGGAATGATAAGAGATGTGCAGGATCGGTTTCCCTCTTGGGTGATTTTTGCTTCTGAATTTCGGTTTTACCTTTAACATATAACAGTTTGATGAACTGTATAAATGCTTTTAGAAAACAATATTGACAGTAAACAACTGATATAAACACGAAGTACAAATAAGAGCTCAGATCTTTAAGCGTGCATAATTAATGAGACCTTGCACAGAACAACTAAGCTGTGTCAAGAAGATGCGTATATAATACTGTTAGTTGAAGTGAAATGGTGAACATTGCTGATATTTTACTCTCACTTTTTTTATATAAATAGATAAAGATATACAAGTAAAGATGGACTTAAATTTAGAATCTAGAAAAAAGTAAGGGGAAAAATTATGAATCAACGTTTTGAGGGTAACTACTCTAAAAATTTTGAAAATTTCACTAAATATCTAAATCTGAATAAGGAATGAAAAATTAAGAAAAAACAATCTTTGCTTAAACTAGTTAGAATCAAAGTCGTTCAGTATCATACAAAACTTCTTGTATGATACTCAAATTATATTAAATGATCTCTTAATAGATTAAAAGAATTTGAAATAGAAATACAATTTCTGGATGGTAGGAAAATTTTAATGCTAATACCTTGCTAAGTGGCAAAGAAGAGTGGTTGTCGACTCTCAAATATTATAAAGTTTGTAACCTATGACATATATTTTGTCGCTACTGATACTACACTCATAATGAGTTTGAAAGATAAAGCCAAATAGTAATCAGAAGAAGAAAATTTTCTTCTTCCAATTACTATTATTATTACTATAAAAAGTAACTTATGATTATCTTTAAATAGTCATTAGTCACAGTAAAAAAACTCACCTTAAGCTCTTTAGAATGCAAGTATTGGAATGAGGACAAAGCATCTCTTTCTTGTCGCAGGTTAACCTTTTATTACATGTAAAACCATTTGCCGATAGCTCCCATCCAGCTGGACATGCACAAATTATCGATTTGTGGGATTGAAGACAAAGATGACTGCATCCATTATTATTAACACGGCAACCATTAATTTCTAATTGTTTATGTGTCACTGATACTAAGTGAATATTAACATTATCTTCTTTAAAACCTAGATACAATTAAAATTTGAAAGTAAGTATAATTAAATAGTAAAATACAGTATACCCCAAAATAAACAATACTTAAATTGGACCGCGTTATATAATAACGGATTAACCGCCAAAAATTCAAAATCGAGATAATAGTGCCATCTTGCAGCTAGGGTGCAAATCTATGTATAAAAATAGGTTTGGTGAAAAAGAAATTAAAAAAAAAGCGGTTTTTGAACGCCTGTATTAAGCGACATTTTTTTTTATTAAAAAAAATCACACAATAGGATTTGTTATATCGAATTAAACGCCAAGTTGATTTTACAGAATTAAAAACCCTTACAACAAAAATTGTAATATCAAATCAAGCGCCAATAATGGTATATAATCCATTGTCATAAACAAAAATCCGCATCTTTTAAATGTAATAACGAATCAAGCGCCATGAACAGTCGGTTAGTTCTTTATTACAAAACACAACATATTGTCTAACGTTCAAGATATCGAATTAAAAGACATTCTTTGTCAGGTAATTCGTTATTTTAAAACAAAATGCGCGCTCTGTTGAATCATTGTATCATTGTACCTCAGTCGTTAACCAACAAGTGATCAGAGTGTTGTCATTTCTTATCAGGTTACACGACGTGCATAATAAAATAATTAGCTTAGATCTACTTTTTTATTCTATCAAAATGAATAATCCAAGCCTTATGAATAAAAGTTCTAGAAGTTACAAACTTATATTTACAGCTTTAGAAAAAAGTGCAGTCTCTTTTTCCTTGGAAAAGAATGAAAATTTATTACCGGAGCCGGAGGTACGTATTATATATAATTACATTTAAGTACAGTGAGTCCATTTAAACTACCTTTTTTACTACCTTTTAAACTTTCATCATCATCATCATCATCCTTCAACCCCGATCTATCCACTGCTGGATGTAGGTCTCCCTCAGTCTTCTCCATGTATTTCTGTTTTGTGGTGTTTGCATCCAATTTTTGTCGATGCGTTTTATGTCATCAGACCATCTTGTTGGCGGACGACCTCTATTTCCATATGCTTCGCATCTTGGTCTCCAATATACGATTCGCTGTATCCGTCTGTTATCCGACATTCTAGCTACGTGCCCCGTCCAGTTCCACTTAAGGGTCATAATTATTTCTATGGCATCTTGTACTCCTGCTCTCCGTCTTATTTCCTTGTTCGTAATCCGATCCCTACGAGAAATGCCTAACATCGAGAGTTCCATGACTCTTTGTGTAACACAAATTTTATTACTAATTTTATAGGTTACTGTTAGAATTTCTGCACTATATCAACCACATGTAAGTACTGGCAAGACGCACTGATTTTAGACTTTTATTTTGAGACACATAATATGCAGTTCTGACTTAAGGACATATCCCAGTTTGCCGAATGCCACCCAACTGAGTCATATGCGGCGGCTTATTTCGCACGTTTGATTATCTCTTCCTATGCGTATCTCATGCCCCAAGTACTTATAAAAAGTGTTTTTTTTCGATATGAATGTCATTTACTGAAATATTTTCGCTTAACACAAGATTTCTCATGACTTGTGTTTTAAACTACTGTAACTTTACTTAACTAGGTACTTTTTTAGGTGCAAAAAGCATACGAGGCAATTTCTAATGAACGCTTCAATAAACTCGACATTAAATAATGAAAGTACCTGCCCTAATGAAGTCAGTTCTATGGGAGAGGAGAAATTACCTGAGGACTCAGTATTATTGAATATATCCTATTCTATTGTGAGTATTCCTTGCACTAGCCTATATGTCTCAAACCATTCAACGAGTCCGCATTCTTTTAATTTATAGCATAGAAATAGAAGTTTGAGTGTTGATATGGAAAACAACACCAACGTTACTAGATCCGAGCAAGTTACAGCCGAAAATTTTCAGCTAAACTTCCAACAAAACGTAAAAAGTAGTACACAACGTGCACAAGTGCAAGAAACAAACGAGGAAGCCTTTGGCTTAGAAAACGACAATCATTTAACAACACACGCAAATAATGAAGAATCCTCCGAAGAACCCAATGGAGGTCATACAGAAGCTGCTAGAAAGCAAGGAAATGAAAATAAAGAAAATATATTAGAAACAGAAATCATGGAGACATATAAACAAGGAAGACCAAGAAAAGGTCGCAAGAGACGAGTAGAAAATCAATCCCGGCAGTCTCGAAAAGTTTTATGCGAAACCAATAAGCCGTATGTAAGTCAAAAGGGCAAATCGGTAGAAACTAGACAGTTTAGAGATTATCGCTGCAAAGATAAATGTTACGACAAAATAAGTTTGGAAGAAAGGCAACAAGAATTCAACAAATTTTAGGCACTTAATAACTATCAAGCTAAATGCCTCTATATATCTTCTTCCGTCTTTTTTGTGCCTATAAAAAGAAAAAGAGCTAAACTAACATCTAAAAGAACCCACACAAGGATATACCACCTAGCTGATAGAGAAGTATGCTCAAAAATGTATATTCAAACTTTGAGAATATCCTCGGCAAGAGTAGACCGGTACTTAAAAAAAGTTCAACAAATGTCATTAAAGATCGCAGAGGAGAAAAGACAGCTATCCATCGAAAAATGCCTGAAGATCGTAGACAAAGAGTTATTGACCACATGAGCAAATTTTCAAGGTATAAGTCACAATATTGTAGAAATCAAACTGAACGCCTTTTTTAAATAGTGATGTAACATTAGACAAAATGTTTAACTTGTATAAAGAAGAACATCAGAATAGTGTTTCTGAATTAAGAGAACTTAACACCTCAAATAACTGAATTGATATTATGGTCTGACAGTTGCGGAGGACAAAACCGCAATATTAAAATTGTGATGCTCTTAAAATCATTGCTTGAGCTTATACCTTCTTTAAAAAAAATAACGATGCGCTTTTTAGTATCAGGACACAGTTTTATGCCCAACGACTCCGAATTTGGGGACACAGAATCAGCACTAAAGTTCCAAAATCGGTTGTACACTCCAGACGATTATATAAACGTTATGAAAAGTTGCCGAAAACGAAACAAATTAACGGTTCAAATGGTACAAAAAGAAGAGTTTAAAGGAGTTGGGAATATTTTAAAAAATATCGTAAATAGAAAGATATAAATGGGAACTCGATTAACTGGCTTCAAACTAAAGAAATACTGCTCTCCAAAAAAAATCCTTTTAAAATATATTTTAACAAAAATCACGGCGGAAATTTTCAAGAAATAAACATAAGTAAACAAGTCAAAAGACATGCAACAAGAACTACAGAATTTTCGTATTCCTCCAAACTTCAAATTTTGTGGCCTAATGAAAACCTGTCTCTATCCCAAAACTTAATGACATCATGTTATTATTGGAACTTATCCCATGCTAAACAATTCTATGAAAATATCGTAGGGAACGAAGACATTCAAGATGACATTGACGGCTTTAATGGATCATTGGATTTCGATATTGAAGACTTATCTTAGTGAAGTGTTTTTGGTGTATTTTCTATGTAAACGATGTAACTTTTTATATGTATTAACGTAAAAAAATTAATAAAAGATTATTATAACACGCATTTCTTATTTTGAAATATCAGATTAAGCGCCAAATATGTCTTTTAATCCGATATTCGGATCTTAACTCATGCATATCTTAAAAAATCATTAACGAATTAAGCGACATTTGATCGAATAACTTTTAAAATATAAACTATTTTTAAAAAATTTAAAAAACATGTGAAACTCTATTTATATTTGCATTAATCTATAAAATATAAAATATGTCATTACTATATTTTAGAAATAGCACCAAAAACAAAATTAAAATCTTTAAACCCATTTATCTCAAAACTACATTTTGGCGCTTAATCCGCTATTACATAATGCGGTCCAATTGAGACATAGGTATCTCTTTTTACGCGCTATCATATCGAAATTAACTAGTATAGACCTCTCAAGTAATCTTTAAACAATAAATTAGTAAGGCCTAATTGTTAAAAATTGTGTTAAGTACAAAAAAAAAGTGTTTCTGGTGGAGCATTATTTTCGCTCATACGGAATCGTCCGACGAAATATTATCAGTCTGCGATATGTGTGATCAATTCACACGACGGTTTATTAAACGTTCTCGAAGTAATCTTGTAATTTTAAAGGTTATGGAAAAGTTCAGTAATACGGGTAATCTATTGTGCCAGCGAAAAGGAAACTCGAGGCGTCCCGGTACAGCTAACAACAACAATAACCATGAACGTGTTTTTGAACGAATCTTGGAAGATCCGAAAGCCAGCCAGACAAGGACAGCGTTGCACGTTGGCTTAAAAAGAGCTTTCTTGCAAAGAATCCTAAAGGAGCTGGTTGCATTTTCGTATGTGATTTAGGTATATCAACAATTACATACTCGATATTATTGCAGTAGAGTGAATTATTGCATCCGAATTCTTACGTAACATTGCGAAACTCCTGAATTTTAAAAAATGTATGGTTTTCAGAAGCATATTTTCTTTTGTCAGTTGTCAGGAAAATGTTGCACAAATCGATTTCTGAGCTTTGCCAAATCAGATGAAGTTCAATAAGTTCCTTTACATAGTGCAAAAGTGAGTGTCTGGTGTGCAGTTTCTTGAAACGGAATCAGTGATCCCTACTGTATCGAAGTAAATGGTAACGTAATCAACAGAGGTACATACAAGTTTTAGCACGCTTTATCTCTGATCCACAGTAATTCTGCCGTGTACGTAATTTAACATTTCAAAACCATTTTTTTTTTCAGTAGGACGCGGCAATTTGTCATACTGCTGTCAAAATCCGACAATTTTCTCAGGGACATTTTCCAAGCAGATTCATTTCACAATTTACTGACTTCCCTTAACCTTCTCATCTCCAGACTTCACATTTCCAGGCGCATATATTTGGGTCATGGCTAAAACTGCCGTTTTAAACGGGCACCACAAACCATCGATGAACTAAAGGATACCTTTAAAGCCTTCGCGGACCTGAGACAACTTTTATTTATACCATGAC